TAGATTATTTAGTTATATTTAAATTATTTAATCGTCATATCTAGGTTATTTTATTACTAAATAACCTATTCTAAGCCATTTATGACTAAATAATATAATTATATTATTTAGTCATGAACGGCTGTATAATCTTAACAACATAAAAACCATATCTTTGCCAATATCTAATTCTTTAAAATATAAATCCTCAATAAAGACGATCTGACCCTTTAACTTAAATAATTCATGTTTATTTTTTTTATAGTTTACAACTTAAACTCCCTATTAGCAAATAAGTATTGTTATTCTAATGATATAATGTTTAGGCTTAACAACATCCTTTCCTATATGATGGAACTCAAATTTAACATTATAAAATCCATTCAAGCAAACAAAATATTATATTCAGAACTGAAAATAATGAACGTATTCTTCAATTTTTGAAACAGAGAAATAATAATTTTATAGATGCACTACAAAAATAATTGATTCCTACTTAAAAGAAACAGAAAATCTGTTGTTATTGAGCACCTTATAATTAGTAAAGATACCTTTGACTAGTATTTAGAACTATCTTTAGATAACATTAAATAACATATAGCCAATCACTTTCAAAATATCATCAGATCAATTAATTGTGACATTACTAACTCTGTCTCCTTTAACTTCAAGGATATGTAGAACAATTGAAAACCCTTTTATAATCCAATCTCAAATATTAATAATAATATATATTCAAATATTTTAGATATCCCTTTAATCGATGAGTGAAAAATAATAATTAAGAATCTTCCTGACCATAAAGTACAGGTCCCTCACAGATCTCAAATAAAATGCTTAAAAAATTAGATCTTAAAATGAAAAATTATTTTACAATATTATTTGTACATGTTTTATTAGTGATTTAACTCCTGTATATAAAATCTAGCGTATATTTACACTATCTCAAAACTCAAGCTATAGAACTGTAACTTAGATAATACTAGACCTATTATACTTTTAGATACTGTTCGAAAAGCTTTTGTTAAAATTCTCAATCAACGACTTCAAGATATATTTATCAAATATAATGTTATCAAAGGTCTTAACTTTGCTAGATCAGAGATTAAAACCATGTCATAAATAGTCACCCAGATACTCACGTAATTTTTAAAATTGGGTATTCGGTTAAAATCAGGTAGGTAGTTAGCATAATATTTTAGACAGTTTATTAACAATATGTATTTTTTTCTTATTTGTCAAATAAAGTTAGTTTTATATATTTAATTAATCATTTTAGTGATTGATTTAATTTTATTACATATAATAAATTTATAACAGATTTAAGAAATTTTTATTAAATTTTAATTTATAATTCTATTAATAAAATGAAAAACTCTAACTAAAACATATAAATTGTAATTAAATTTCTCTTTAAAAACATCATTTTACCTGTTAATTTTGAATCTAAATGTGTACGTTTTGCAGTAATTTGATTACCTGTATCAGAAAATAATCTTTCACTAGGTACTGATGAACTGGGAATAGATAAATACTTTCTAGCTAATTTAGCTATATTAGGAAACTAAACTTTTCAAATTGCCTACCACTCAAATGAATTCACTTTATGATTAGCAATAGGTATACAAATAAGATCTAAATAATATTCTAATTTAAAAAGGATTTGTTATTGCTACCTGTATAACAAAAATAGAGAAGTGCAATCAGCTATAGTATTGTTGTTTGCTTAAGCTACCAAATGATAATAATGATTGTTCTGAGCTTAAAAATTGATATATTAATTCTATTTTTGCCTTATCACGTATTTCTTCATTCCAATTAGAAAATGTTTTCAGTCTTAGATCTAAAAGAGATACTAAAGACCAATCATTATAGATTCATTCTAATTGAAAAATAATAAAATATAAATGATTCTTTTCATTATTTTAAGAATATCTTATATAAGCTGAATAGTTAAAGCTACTGCTTTAGATCAAGTATGATGGCGATGTTATGTTAATTGCTTTAGATTATCAAGTTTCAGGTTATCTTCTTCATTACTATCATTTAATCCAATTTCTTCATCTTTTTTATGTTGAAAGTTTAGAACATTTATAAAATAAATTATAATTAATTAATTAGCAAAATAATTTTTATAATATATTATAATATAATTGATTTACCTTGTTCTATTTCTGAATCTTCATTATTATTTTCACCATTTTCAGCATATTTAAACTTGAGGACTTGAATCAAAGGATAAATAATTGACAAAGTTGCATAAAATATTCTACTAAAATATGTAGTAGCATTTTCAAATGGCTCTAATAAATCTACAATTTGTTTTAATAAGTTTCATTCATAAGGTAATAAAAACCTCTTTTTAAGTTTTTTTCTATCTACATGATTATCATAATTATCAGATAAAGATAATATTGCAGCCAATCATTCAATTGCTTTACACAATTTTAATAAACAGTTTCAAGAATGATATTTGGAATTCCATCAGTTCTTTATATTGACAATATTTCACAAAATTAGTTTTTGTGGATTTTTTGAAATATTTAATAATAGTTCATTTATGTTATGATCATCATCATTAGAATCTTCATCATTGAAATTATCAGAAATATCTTGATTAATATGTCTTTAACATTCCTTTTAAGCATTATTGAAACGCTCACTTTACTTGGGAGAACTTGTAAAAAAATGTACTAGACGTTAATTTGCTTAATATAAATATTAATTTTTTTAAATACACGATAAATAATTGAAAGTTGTAAGGTATGCGTAGCATAAGGTAAACATTCAATACCATTCCATTGGCTAATTGTATTAATCATATTACTTCCATTATCAATCACAACACAGGTAATTTTTCCTTCTAATCCAAATTCAACAACTTTTTTTTTTAAAAAAGATATAATATTTGTTTTAGTATAAGAATATAGCATACGTTTCATGCAAAGAAGACAATTATATACTTTAAAATTTTCTGATAACTAATGTAAAGTTATACTATTATACCTATGTTTACTTTTGGCTATCCAAAGGTTAGTTGTCAAAGAAGTAAATTCACAAGTATTTTCAAGTAATATCTTTAATTCTTTAATTGCATTTGTATATCCAGTATAAATTTCATTCTTTATTCTTTTATTAGATGGAATTGAAAATGCAGGGTCAAGAGGCATCATCATTTTTCAGTAACCTTTGCCTTGAATAATATTAAGTAAAAGATTGTCAATAGTAATTCATTCAGCAATAAGCTTACCTGATTTCTTAATTTTATGATTCTTTATGCAGCTTAAATTTTGTTTTTTCCATTATTTCTGGTATAATTAGTTAAATTAATTTATCTGTTTACTATAATTAAAAAATAAAATTGTAAAATTTTTGATATGTATGTGATTGGTATTTAATATTTAAATTAAAAAATGATTTTTATATATAATGTAGTCTTTGTTTAAAAAAGATAGTATTACCTTATTCATTCCCTCATAAATGCTATACTTTTCACAAAGATGATTTATCATGTTTTCTATAGATCCATTATGCAAAAATTGCTAACTACAACATATTTCTTTATTTTACATATTCATAACCAGAACTTGATATATATCATACTTATTTTTCTGAATTATACATATATTATCACACTCAACTAGTTTTAATATATTTACATTTTGATTTATTTAATTTCACTTTTTTTCTGCATATAGTTAATCTTTATTAAGAGAAACTATTAAAGATGATACTGTTGAAGGGCTATTGGAGAGCTGCCAAAGGAGTACTACTAGAACTAGTAGATATATCATCAAAAGTATTATCATTTCTGAAACTGTATCAGAAAAATAATCCTAAATATTATCATCTATCATAAATATTTTAGACATTCAAATTAAAAATTGATATATAAAGTGGTGAAAGAGTAAAGAACGGAAGGGCTGATTTATAATAAAAAAGATTATTAAAAAGGCTTAAATTTAGTTAATTTTCACATGAGTCAATCCAATTTGAAAATTGGGTGAATTTAACACAGATATTCAGTTTGTCAAATATTAATCTGTGTTAACTTGATTTGATACGAATGACCTGGATGTTCATCAACTGGTTCCAATCTCTATACTGGACTTTCTTACCAATCCACCCTTGAATCACTTCATATTGTCAACAATTTGCTAGAATATCACTGTCTATGGAAAAAGACGCATTAACATGATCTACAAACTTATACAGTCAACTCTTAATATAGCGAACTCTTAATATAACGAATTTTTAAACAAATATAATAAAAATACTCTTGTTATAGCGAATTAGCCAATCAAATCTCTTAAAATATTCACTATAGCCTTATAGCGAAGTTGAGGTCTAGGACATAGAGTTTATTATAACAAGAGTTAACTGTATATTTTATTTTAAGACATGTCAAAAGCATATGATCAAGTAAATATTTATATGCTCAGAAAGGCTATAGAAAGACTGTGAATTTTAACTACTTTTATTCACATTATTACTAATTTATTTTTGAATAGATTAAACTCAGTTTTTACTACTTACGGTAATACAGATCTCTATAATGTAGTAGTAGATATTAATCAAGAGGAAGTCATATCTCCTCTATTATGAGTAATCTATTATGATCCACTTTTATCTAGGATCTAACAAACAAATTATAGTTACAATATGTCTATCACTTGAAAACCCAATATCATCAAAAATGTCACTAAAGATCTATCAGTTTCTATTTCTAACTTCGTCTTTATGAATGATACTATCTGGATTTCTAATAGTATTAAAAACTTATCCTTGATTTTTAATATTATTCAATCCTTTTTTGATCTCAATTCTATGAAAGTTAATCATTATAAGTCTTTTATTCTCAATCTGAGTCAACTACAAACAACATTTTCATTTTTACTAATTACTTGAAAATGCATGTCACCTTTTTGACTTTAAAACTATCAGAATTAACTCATTATCTTAGAGTCTGAATCTCAGCCTCATACAATAAAAATTTTATTAAACAATAGATCTCTAATAAAATTTTTGATTTTATGCTTAAACTTAAATACAAATCTTTAACTGATAAATAGCTCAAGTATCTCTATAATATAGTTTTGATCCTATGTTTAAAATATAGAAACAGGCTTATTGTATTCTTCCATAATGAATGTGATGTTCTCTTCACTAAAGTTAGGACTTTTATCAAGCATAAACTTAGATTTTCTAAATCATCTCCTAACAGTATCCTGACCAGCAATCTGTTCTATGATTTTAACGACCTTTTTAACATAATGATTCAATTCAAATTATAGCATTTTATTATCATGATTAATGGTAACTCAAAATATTCTTTGCTTTCTCTCACTTCTGTTATCAAATTAAAACAGCTTCAAAATTTTTATTGGCTACCTAACAACTCTTTAGCCTATTGGTTAACTCAACTCAATAATATTAGACATAATAATTTTATTGAAAACATAATTTCCTTGTACTTAAAACAATTATTTACCTTTCACTAATAATCTTACACTATAAAATACAAGGAGGCAATATATCCCTTTTATCACTGCTACTTTAATGAAAAAATTGGATTAGTTCCTTTAAAAACAAACAACTTTTTTTCTTAGAATAACTAATTTGTGATGGTATATTTATGTCAAAGCTTAATAATCTTTCTTTTAAATAAACTATAGGTAACCATCTTGGTCAGACTCACTCTCGATAGTTTGAGCTACTTAAAGAAATAGTCCTTGTTAACCTAATACACTCTAATAGAATTAAGAATCAATTTTGTATCCAAGCCTTCTCACCTATAGGATACAAATAATATTCCTCACATGATACTGATACTTTAGTAGATTGGGTCACCCTTTGGACTTCTCTTGATAATAACTATTATAATTTACTATACCCAGAACAAACTATCTTTGAAAAATCCTATAAAGTCAAAAAACTTCAAGACAAAATTATTTTTCAACATTTTTTACAGTCAAATCATTCAAATGATTTCAGTTCCCTTTCAAAAAAGAATAATACATTTGTAAAATATAATGAATGCTTTTTCCATTCAGACTCTATAGAGATATCTAATTATATAGGTCATTCAATTAAATGTAATAGTATAGTAAAAATTGATTTACCTCAAATCATCAACGTAATCTTTTTCTTTTCAGTTAATTCTGAAAAATTGTATCTTTTAAAGAAAAATATCAAAGCCATTTCTGATCAAACTGTTCATTATTATATGAGAGTGCATTCTATCCTAACTAGCTCTAATAGTTTGTATATGTCTACTCCTTTTTATTTTACTATAGAATTCTTTATTAACTCTTCCACTATAATTTCCTTATTAAATTCATTTAAAAATAGACTGAAATATGAAAAGTCTCTTTTATTTTATACAGATAGTTTACATAGATTTTTATCAGATCATACTAATCCTATACTTATATAAGCTTTGCTTTTCTCTTAGTTTATAATAATATAGATATAGAATGCTTCACTATCCTTTCCCATTTTTAGTCAAATTCTACTAACACTGAAATTTTTGCTTTATTACTAGTTCTAATCATTTACCCTTAAAATTTAAATTTAAATATCTGTACAAATAGTTTAACCCTTATTCATTTTATAATAAAATCTAATGACAGAATGCTTTTTTATATTATTTACTTATACTCAAACTTCTCTTTAATACTACTGATCTAATATTTTCAAAATTATTGAAGAAAGAAATATTTCACTCATTCTTACTAAAGTAAAAGATAATTCATATAATAATAAAGTTGATCAATTAGCAAAATTTTCATTACACTCTCCTTCTATTTCCATTATATTTAATTATATTCCTTACTTTAATACATTTCCCTTTTTAAACAAATGCCTATTTTCACTACCTTTTAATCTTTAATCAAAACTTTTTATAAACAAAATACTTCATAGTTAACTATTCACTTAAAAGAAATAAAAATTACACTAATTTTGAAATTAATTATAAACTTACTTTTTAATTTCTCAAACTGGATTCCTATTCACTATTTTCTTTGAAGAATCTCGTGTACATTGTAGTAGAATCAAATTTTTACTTGAATAACTTCTAATAATCGATTTTTTCAAAACTATACAGCCTTTCTTTTATAACAGTTCATAAAATTGCTATCATTATAATATAACAAATAAATCTTATAATCATATATGACTTTATTCTATAGCCAGACCTATTATTGACAAAATTATCATTGACCTCTTATTACATTTAAAAGAACAAATTTTCATACTTATTTCTTATTCAGACTTTCTACCAGAAGTCTCAGCTCTCTTATTATCATCTCACCCTTATTAGGCTATCAAAGCTGATCATCTTCATCAATTTTATTAAAGGTATTGTTTTCTTCTTCTTTTTCAAAATACTTAATATTTTTACTAACTTATCTTTCATTACCTTTACCATTCTCTCTTCCTTTTACAAATTCTTATTAGATCAAACTTATGCTCTTATATAGAAATCTAGATGCAATCTTACTGTTATCAAAGAATAATCTCTTCATATTTTACAATTCAGTAAAAAGCACATCACATTTGCTTCGTCAACACAATTTTTTAGAAATAGTTTTACTAATACTTTCTTTTCTTCAACTTACCTCTAACATGATCATCTTTTTTTAATTTAAATTCTTACATATATGGTTATTATTGATCTCTCTTACTAACGCAGTAATAACTAGTTGTCATATGTTTAATTTTTATAGTTAGATAGCAATGATAATTCTTTTAGTAATTATTATTAGAGCCTAAAGGAATAATCAGTTAATCTAGTAAAATAGGATTTTAAGACTTTTTATTTTTATTAGGTAGCTTTTTTTATTTTTCTAAATCTATACCTTCTTAGAGGATTTTCATATATAAAATTTTACTGATTATAATTATATTTAATAAATAAAAGCATTATCACGCTTTAAAAAAAAAAGAGTTATGAAATTGCTACTATTAAATTCATCTTAATAGGATGATTCTAATAAATCATATTTTATCCTTTTATAATCATTCAATTTCTAGAAATTCTATCTAGAAAATTTGCAAGCAAATTTGCCTACAAAAAATTTTATATGTAAAATGATTTACATATTACATAAAATTTAAATATGCTGAATTTTGCAACTAATTTTATTTATAATATAATTTAATAATTTTTATTATATTTATTAATTCATTTTATAGTATTTTAAATATAAAAACTTTGCAGATATATTTGCTTACATTACAAATAAAAGAATAATAAAAAAAATATATATTTAAGAAAAATTAATACATTTAATTGATATAATGATCAAAAATAGTAAATGATATAAAATACTAATCTAATAATTAGAGAAAATTTAAAAGAAAAATGAAAAGTACAAAAAATTAAGATGATTTATCACAAACTATAAATTTTAATAAATTTACAAAATTATAAAAATATGAAACTAAAAACTATATAAATAAAAAGTACACACTATATATTTTTGAAGTAAGCTAAACCTAAAAAGGATCCTAATAATTATTAATAATAATAAATAAAATAAATATCATTCTATTATTGTAACTCAAAGTAAAAGAACAAAAAAAGTAAAAAATTATAAAAAAATATGAAAATAAAGAAATACGTGCTTCATACTTCTAAAATAATTGACTTAATCAAAGGTTCATTATCTACAAATATAACTGTATATATGCAATAATAAAAATATAACTATCTTAAACATTTTCTATTTAAAACCTAAAAAAATACTAAAATAATATGTTAGAAATCTGAAATAAATATAAAGAATATCATAATAATATCTATTAAATCAATTTGCAAAAATTAAAATAATTAATGATTAAGAAATGAATATGAAAATTTCATTATATCTTAATATAATATAAGTTAATAAGCTTAATTTCTATTATAATATTCGTAATAAATATTAATATATAAATGATTTTGTAAATATTACTTTAATTATAAAAATTATTATGATTGATATTTATTTATTTAATTTAATATATTAATAATATAGTTATTCATATAAATTATATCAAATATTAGTAATTTATATAATTAACTTTAATATTATAAATCTTTTATTAATGATTATTTAAATAAATTATTGTTTTATATATTTGATATTCTTACATATTAGACTATTCCTTTTATCTTTAATCTTTTTCTTTATAAATTTATCTAAAAAATAAATCATAAACTGATATTAGTCACAAATCTTACCATACCTTAGATATCATAAAGTGATTGATGTATAATATGTCAAATATATAACAATTGTAATATATATAATATATATGATACTTAAACTACTTGTATAATATATAGAACAATTTACTTTTTATTATACCGTATTCCTCTGAAAATAAGTAACATATTTTTACTATAGTATTGCTTATTTTCAGATATGTTAAATAAAAATGTAAATCTTATTGAAAATCTTAAAAATTTGATCAACATAAATCTCAAAATAATTGTTCATTTAATATAAATATACATAATACATAATCTAGTTATCAAAATTATACTTTTATCAATATATACAAATGCCTAATGAAAGAAAATTATTAAATATAAAGCAAAAGTTAATGAATGAATTTTAAATACCATAAAACAAAAGATAAAAGTTATTATATATGTAAAAGAATAGGAAAAATAGTTTTGCAAAATATTTCAACATCAATTTTAATATAATAGACTATTGAATATACAATATTTAAATTAGGTTAAAATTAAAGAAACAAGTAAATAAGTCAGCTTTAGTCATAAAGCTTTTTTTCTTGAAATTAAAAAAAGTTGTATAATTAGATTATTTAATAACAAAATTAAGGTCTAGCTGTATCATATACAATTTTATGAAGTAAAATACTTAAAATTTTATTAAAAATATATCAGATCTTTATGAAAATTTAGCAAAGAATTTTAAGATATCCTACCATTGATTAATTGCATTTTTTAAAAAATACAAGTTAGTGTTATGATATTATAAAAAAATTTTCTAAAAACTAAGCTGAAAAAATCTTATAAACTGAAAAATATTTTAAATATAGATAAAATGCTTATTTGGTTTAATATAGTAAGTAATTTTATTATAAATTAAAAAGATAAAAAGAATTTATATCTGAGTATCTAGAAATAAAAAAAATCAATTTACTATCATTTTAATATATATTATAGGTAAAATTCCTTTTTTTTTTATAATTTTAAGTTATTTTTAGTTTTTCAAAAAATATATAAAATCAAAATTAATTTTATAATAAATAAATTTTAAAGAAAGGTAAAATTAAAATATTTTCTTAATGAATAGAATTTATTTTTAAGGATTGGTATTATAAATATATTAATAGTAATTATTTTTTAAAAGATATTAATATGAAAATGCTAATTTAGGATTTTTTTTTCATAGAATAAAAATTTAAGATTCCTTTTATTTGTAATTCTTTTTCTTATTATAATAATTTTTATTCTAGTTGATTATAAATTATCAGTATTAAAAAATTTATTATTTTATTGTCCAGAGCATTAGCAAAGGACTATTTACTGTAATGACTTAACAAAATTTGTTTTAATCCCCGTTTTTGTCCCTGTCACAATCATCAGTTTATTTTCCTTTTTTAAAAATACATCATGATTATGTAAAATAAACTAAAAATAAACTAAAAATAAAAATAAAAAAATAAAATAATCCCCTATACTAAAAGCAAAAATATACAAGATCGTGTAACACTTGTGTTAAAAGTCGTATAACACTAGTGTAAATTGCGTAATATGATTGTAGATCATGTAACCTTTTGCTAAATAATGAAAAGCAAAAAATATTTTTGCAAGAAATTTAGATCTTTTCCATTTCGGCTAGTCTTTTTTTTTCTGCAATTCATTCTTTTAATCTTTTACAGTTTTTATGCGCTCAATTCTACTAAAATCAAACTGCTTGAAAATAATATCATTGAGAGAACGAACGCAGAAAATTGCTACAAATGACAAACCAGCAGCGAATTCCCTCTTGCCAAGATCTATAACTGCTTTCGGTAAAGTTAGACCTTGCGATTTGTGAGCTGTAATGACTTATGAAAGAGAAAGTGGAAATTGTAGTCGAGAGCAAATGCCAGATTTGCCTTCCCATATGCGTCATATAGGAACAATAGGTACAACCAGAATTTCATTTATGTTTGTAAGAGTTGGGCCATAATATTGGTCAAAGGAAATTAAAATAGCAGTTGGTAAAGATGTGTGCTTAGGTTTCTCTTTGTATAATATATCTGTTATTATTCCCATTGCGCTATTCACAAGACCAGTAGCAACCTAGAGATTCGAGGTAAGTATTACATGTGTATTTCTAACTAACAATATTTCAGGTTTAAGACCTTTTGCTGTATCTAAATCGGCCTTTGAAGCTTCAGTGCCACCTGTATGAACTGCTCGAATCCTAGCAACAGGTTGGTTTAATAACCCAAATTTATTAGCATTAATTCTATCGACTTCTTCCCATATTGTAAGAATGTTGATAGCATTTGAAAATTTTTTTCGCTCTGGTTCTGACAGTTTTTCTAGGATTTGCGTTATTAACAATTCCCAATCAGATTGTATAGATTCTCCATCACGTAAGTGAGATAAAAGATTCCTGAATTAGCATTATTCATCTAAGTTATCAATTTGTTATTGTACAACTTCAAGTTTATAAACTTCTTGGAATTGGCTATAGGTATTACGTCCATCCTCAGATATAGGATCTAATGGTTGATGATTCTGAGAATACATGGAAAGATCACACACTGGAGGAAGTTGTCTGAAGTCACCAACAAGGATTATAGATCAGCTATCAAAGTGTTGATTAGAATGATCTGGAAATGCTTGACGCAGTCTCAAATCAATTAGAGCTAGAAAGTGACAGCCTATCATGCTCATTTCATCGATGATAATATATTGGATATTTTTTATTCTATTTTGTAATTTTTTCAAAGATTCACTTTCAAGCTTATAATTTGTGTCACATATTGGAATGGAAAGTGATGAATGGATAGTTCTACCTTGAATATTAAAGGCTGCAACGCCTGTTGGAGCAAGTACAATACTATTTTCTTGCAACCTATCCTAGATGATGCTTATTAGATAAGATTTTCCAGTTCCAGCAGTACCCATAATAATAATTCGCAAAGGTTCTACAGATTTATTTTAAGTTAAAGCAATATAATGTTTTTCAATTCTTTTAAATATTATCCTTTGTTTATTATTTAGTGTTTTACGATCAATATTTGCTTGATTATTCCTGATTTGAGTTGCATCACTATCATCAATTGCCTGCTTAATGAAACTTTCTGTTTCTTCAATTTTAGGAAATCGTGTCCAGCTTTCACCAACCCAGTCATAATTTATGTTAATAACTCGGTTACCAAAAGAATTAGTTGAATTGCATTTACGTCTATCTGGCATTATTCCGGACAGTACTATCCAATCAGCTTGAGATTCATATTCTTCTTGTACAATATCTTCATCATCATCAGAATCGTTACCATCAACTTCCTCAAGATTATCCACAGCAGGTCCAATTAAATCACTAAGATCATCATTGATTTCTGAAAGATGACGGTTATATAAGTCTATCCATGAAAATGTATGGTTCTCTGTAAGGCTAAGAATGTCTCTATAACAAACATGTAAGAGAACTTTTACGTGACAAAATTCTTCCTACTGAGGACTATTTTTGATTGGAAATGGTCATGGCCAGATACGTACAATATTTTCTTTGCTGCATTTTACCCACTCTCCTCTGACTAACTTATATTGCAGATACAATTTAAACAATGACACATCACTCAATTCAGTAGATCGACTGCAATATCTTTGCAAAGGTGAGGGATCTGTTTTTTTAACTTCATTGTTCTCATTATGTTCACTGTCATGAAGCTACCGATTTGCCTCTTTATTAAGATTTAAACTAGCAAAATTTCTACTACTGTGGTAAAGTGGTATTTGAAGGAGAAGGTGGCAAGTTTCTTATGTTGAATAATCACGTTCCCCCACTGTATGAATAAGCAACTTTTGGAATGCTTTAATACTTGGATCATTTGGATTATCATTACGAAGAGCTTGATCCAAAACTTCTGAAAAAGCCAAAGATCGCAACTTAGCTTTACTAGCATATTTGACACATACTGTAAAGCAGCATATTGTGTGAAAATGAGCTTCAAATCAACATTTGCCCTCCATCTCTGAAGTTGAATATGATCATGTGGATTTACAAGTGGATCATTTCTGGCTGTTGTTAACTCTAGATGACCATTATTATTTTGAATAGTTGTTTGACTTGTTAACTCTTTAGGGAAACCAAATCTGCATTTCTGTTCACCAGTTTTTTTATCAATTCGTAGACAGTAGGAACCACAACGTGTATGATGCTGTAATTTGTTTATTAGCTCAATGTAGTTCACTGTATCATCATTGAAATCCTCAAGGTACTTTTGACATGGGTGATGATCAGGAGAAGGTATATCTAGACCAGGATTGATTGTTGTAATTAAAGAATCTAAGTAATGCACAACATTTTCCATTATCTCCTCATTGTCACTCATTTTTTCCCAATCAATTTCAGGTGCATCTTTTCTCTTGGCAATACTATGCATATAGACACTACCATGATGCTACCATTCGAAGCGATACCACCACTCAACTAATCCCCATTTAGGTATAAGAATCTTTTCAAAAAGACTTTAAACCGCTTTTCAAAAAATCATGTAGCAATATAAGGATTATCTATAAGATCCTTATGTCGACGTCTAGCAGCATCCTGATTTGATTCTGCTTCTACAGGATTTCTTCCGCTAGGCATGAGGTTGTGTAGATCCGGCCAATGCATATCAGCTGCACTAAACGTGAAGAATACCATTTCTTGGAATTCCACCTGTTTTATCATATCCATTAATTCAGCTCTACAATGCATCTAATATTGACGGGTATTACGTAATTCCTCACCATAATGTAACACTCAATCTATAATATTGTTATTAGCTTCCATTAAATCCAAGATTTCAGCTACAGTAAGTTGCTCTTTATCTAAATTTTGTCAGACGAATATACGACCTTCTGATAACGCTCTCCATCTCATTATAATGCAAAATAACACCATTGTGGATGATGAGCGAACTGGCCATCTTTGTAGATTAAAAGGTGTTTAAAGTATTCTGCCGATTTTACTTCTTTTACTCGATGTTCATAGTAGTCTGCGGTACCCCAAGGATAAAGTGTAGGGAATGCTCATACCATGTATCCGGGAGTATGAAATTCATCAACTGGAGTATCCTCGTTATGCGGCCAATTTTCATGCACAAGACGATCATGTTGCATTCGATGGAGAACTTCATTAATTGTGTTGTTCTCACTATGTTCAGTAGGTAATATAGGAACAAATGTTTGTGAGGTAAAATGAGCTTCATCATCTTCAATTCCATCTTTGTATTACTCATTTGGTCCTTCCTTTTCATGATGAGCTTTATTACTTGAGACCTGTGGAAGCTGCTCTGTAATCGATCCATTTTCAGGTAACTTTTGCAAAATATTATTATCGATATCAATGTCACGATAGTATATATTATTGGCTTTTAACCACAAAAGAGCTCGCATTACTTTTTCCCGATGAACTTAAAAGTCACGAAAATTGGATCCATTTTCAGTATAACGCTAAACAACAAGCAAATTCAGCGATGATAGGTCACGTGGAAGACAGGTTACAAACTCCTGCACATCTTGCAGAAAATTAATAATATTTCCACGATATGCGTACTGTCCCCAGGAAGATTATATACTGAAACGATAGGAAATATTTGTGTAATCAGCATCTCTTCTATATCAGTCAAGTCTTGAAGTTCTTGTAGAACTTCGTCTAGAAAAAAGTGAAAATACGTGAGTTCATCAAGTTCAAGTCTATATTAAGAAAAAATGTTTTACTTTCACCTGGATCCATATTGTGTTCAATAGAAAATCTTTTAGGCCTATTTTCTTTACAGCATCGATGGCATTCTTCACCAGCAAGTATAATGGATGGAAATCACTCATTACACGTGATACAGAGATTGTTTCTCAAATTACTAATTATATTGCGAAATTTGTGTAGAAGTTTCTGATCTGAAGTTGAAACACCTTCCATATCATGTCTTTAGCGTAGAGTTGTCCTATTCTTAGAAAGTCTTGCGATGCATTATTGGGGAGTTTCTCTAGACTTTCTTAATAAATATTTTTTATGTGCACAAGCACGCTGAGCCTCCTCTTCAGCCACCAAACGCGTCTCAAGTTCTTCATGAGTCTTTTCAGCTATTTTACGTCGCTTATTGTTTTTATTATTTCGATCATATGCCAAACGCGTCTCATGAGCCTCTTCAGCTACTTTCCGCTTCTTGTCTGCATCACGTGAATGTGGTGCCTTATTTTCTTTATCATTCTTTTTGAATGAATTCGCAGAAATTTGTTTTATGAATTATGTATATAAAGCACGTTTTACATTATTAATTTTAAAGACAAGAAAAAGAAGTGCAATCAGAAGCGTTAAGCATTATCAGCTATCTTACCATATTGTAATTAGACATAGACATTATTAAATTGTGAACTTTATTAAATGAATTAAATGAAATATCAAAGTATAAAAGAATATTTGAAAAATGTACGTAAATAAAAGAAATGTTCGCAATTTGACGCGTTTAACAAAAAAAAGGTGATTCAAGTCGCCAAACTGAGAAACATTCTTTGATATCACGTGACTTTATATTAAAACGACAAAGATACTTATAAATGCAAGTTAACGATCTGCTGCTTTTGGTATTATGAACAAAATGTATTTTAATATCGAAGCAATTTTGTATTATTATAATCATTAAAAAAAAGTTTTTATTATAATAATGATTTATAACAAATATATATATAATAAAATAAAATTTACAAAAATGATACAAATTTTATTTATTTATATTTATATTAATATAAAAGTTAAACAAATAACATATACTATAATATTCTAATAAATTGATTGATCGATACTATGAAAACCAAAAAGTTTGTATAACATTAAAATGCGACAGACTTAAACGGTTTCCGTTTCCCTAGTTATTATAAATATATTATACTTAAATAAATGTATTTTTTTTTTTATTAAGTATTTGATAAATTTCTATATAAATTACATTTTTTATATGTTTTATTGACTAATATAAGTAAATTCAATACCTGATAGCACTATCCAATTACAAATTATACTCAGCATAAAATTCCTCTCAAATTATTTTTTATCTGTTCTAAATAAAATGCATTTTACAGTGAATAATTATTTATAAAATACTAGTAAAAAATATATAATCTTTAATTTACTTTCCATCGTTTATATTCTGGTTCCTGATTTAATTTAATTATATATATATCTATAATTAAACAATAGTTAAAATAAAATAAAGATGAAATGAGGTTTAATTCTATATAACTTCTTAATTACATATCTTTAAATATACAAATATGATAATTAATATAACAAATTTTTTCTTTATATTATAAACTTTTCTTATAAAGATAAATAAGATATCTATTATATTTGCAATTTTCAGAAATCAAAAAATTTTTTTTATTATTTTTAATTAGAAGATTATTTAAAAGTTATAACTGCTACAATATTTATTATATTATTTATTTCAAAAAATAACTTAAGAGTATATTTTTGCTTAGTAATATAAAGAAGGTAAATTTATTATATTCTTTTAAAAATAAAAAATGAAATTACACTTTATTTATCTTTTTATATATAAAATACTATTATATATAATATATTATTTAGATACCAATTTGGCAATTAATTTTTATTAAAAGAGAAAGAGGTCTAATTTGATTTATCTGAACCTCCAGAATTTTAGATAACAATCTTAAACCAAAGGTTTAAGTTAAGAATGCTTATATTTTATTTATTTATGATCAATAAAAGATTTTAAAAATACATTATAAATACTCTTATTCTATTTATAAATATTTAAAAATTTTTCAAATCTTTGAAGATTAACTAAAATAGCTTTTAATAAAATAAATGATCATAGAATATTAACTTTTTATCTTCATTTATAATTATTTATTTTTCTTATTATATGTCTATTATAGAAAGTAATAAAATATATTAGAATTAAAAAAATAATTTAAAATTCAAATTATCTTTTAAAAAATATTTTTAGCTTTTAAAATTCAAAAAAATAATATTTGTTTTTTATCAAGATGGAAGAGATGAAAATAAAGAATTATTAAATAATAATAAAACAAAAAATATATAAATAAATTTAAATAAATAATTTAAAGAATGAATAATTAGTAAATATTTTTAATCTTTAATATATTTAAATTATTAAAATAATAAATAAGAGTTTTTTTAATAATCTTTCAAAAAACGTTAAAATTTTCTTATTTATTTTATAAAAATTGCAATTTTACTTCTAAATAAAGTTTTAAATATTTGCAATATATTATCCTTTAAACTGTAGAGTAGGCAAATTTACCTGTGAATATAAAAAAAATGTATTAAACTTTTAATAAAAAAATAAAATATTAATGTTAATAATATAATTATTATATAAAAAATATAGTTTAATATATATTTTATCAATTTTATT